ATAGAGGATCACTGTATCGTAGTGTGTAATATTGTATGGGGCAGGTATCATACGGTCGCGTGATCAGCAAGCTGGCATTTGGCGAGGTGGCATTTAGCAAGGTGGCATTTTTAATGAGGTTGCTTAGTAAGATGATCACGAACACTTTTGACAAGGCACTGTACATAGTTGTATAATAGATGGATGTAATCTGCTAACACTCAGACACAGAATATAAATATTGAAGTACCTCCCAGTCTTTTAAACATCATCAAGCAATGGAGAAGAGACCTTAACAATGTAATATTATTTTCACAACTCTATTCTACTTTACCTACTTTACTTTACTCTTAGCTATTATAAATAAAATGAGTGTGATCCAAGTTTTCCTAGACAATCTCCATCTACAGGAACAAATCTTGGTTGGCTTAAATAACTCTACAGTCTATCAGTTTGTCTCTGCCTAACATCAGACCTGATGACTAACTACCTCTTGAGTACTTCTTTATCTAATTACCTCTCACTCAGCCTTGAGGAGTCTCAGGAAGCCCATGTGGTATAGATGCAATCCTGTAATTGTCAACTAGATGGACTTTATAGGGTAGAAGCCACATAGGAGTGGAGGCACTGGGAAGGGATTGGAGTCATGTAAAGATAAACAATAATAGAATCAATTTTTCAAACTGTGACATGATGCGACAACTATTTGCATAAAGAAAAACTGTAGGAAATGTCAGGCATGAAAACAATAGAAGGTAGCATTGTCATAAAAACTACAAGCTGTAAATACTATCAGGAATTATTTATCACACCTGTAAGGATATCCTCAATACATCAAGACATGAGATACCAGCATCTGAATAACATAAGAAGATTGGAGCCAAAACAGGATATATCATGCAAATATCCCAGTAGAGAGAGTAGTGAGTAGGAGTAATCTGGATGAAGGAGGTGGACACCATAGGACAACTGGCTGACTGGGTAAGAGTTGTGCTATCCCAAGTGAATAGGATAGGATATGGCATTAATAGAATATGAGGAAAAAAGCCACTAGAAGTTAGGAAGTGGAAGGAAAAGGGGAGTAGCATAATGGAGGTAGGGCCTGGGATCAGATATCATGAAAAGACAGTGGTGAAGGATAGGACAGTATTAGGGTATGAGGCTGTAAGATCAGACATGGTGAAAACACATATGACATTGTAGCAGGCATCTATGATGGCATCACAATGTAGGAATCCAAATAACCTAAATCAGGATATTATGTACATGCAATGTCACATCCTGGTTAACAGTTAGCCTTTTAAGCATCCTGTGCATCAGACGGACAGAATGCACAAGATACAGGTAATAACTTTTACTGATGCTTATATACTACTTTAGACTTCAATATTGTATTACTCTATTAGCTTTAGTCCATTTTGCATAAATCCACCTAGAGGTTATTCTTCAAGTTTTCTTCTACTCCCTCATATATGTTGTAGACAGCTTCTAGTTGACTGGATAGTATGAGTGTATATAGTATTATAAGAAAGTCTCCACTTATAGACTTTAGCTAGACTTATAGCAACTCTCCAAGTTGTAGCCTATAATACTATTAGGAATACAGAGATCCGATATCTCAGAACCACACTAAGTAGGATAACCCCTCTCAGAATCGGGATCCATGGTCTCCAACACCCCTCTCCATGTCCCATCAGGGGCCTGTATATTACCATACATATTGATCTCGGTTACGTCCTGTGAATTTGATGCTACAGAAAAAAAGGTATAGGAATAATACTATATACGTCACCACTATCCATCCGTCTAGATCCTGTTCACAGAGTATGTGAGAGGGGACCTTCAGCTAGGTCTGAGAAGTAGAATGGAGTAAATCCATCAACTACTTAGGAAGTTACTAGGCTTCAATGATGTGATATTATTGGCATATGCTATAGGTAATGGGATGTTTTTGCATAAAGAAATGGTATCAAATAATAAAGGATCTCAACGGGAAACCAATACATTCGCACCCACCCTACAATGACTAGAAGAGTCTAGAACTCTGCGGAACTCTAATGCAAGAACCAATAGACTTCACAGAGTATTACAACTAGGTTTCAGAACACATTGTATCTGCAGGAATAAACTCTAATACTAGTACAATGATCGAAACCCTGCTACCTAGAGCAACCAAAAGTTGCCAACCATGGGATTATCTGTCAGTCTAGTAGAATAGCTCCCTGTAAATTAGCAGGAAGTCCTCCAGAAGATATCTGTCTGTTGAGTAGGGAGTTATGAAGGTTTGAAGTCAGGCGACCTAGAAAGGTGTAATGATAACTATCTTCGCAGATACAACCCGCAGATGAAACTGATCATTTTATCAATGATAGAGACAATTGGTGCCAACTCAGTTCAACTTGAGAACTTAGACCATAAGTCTAAAGGCACTAATAATCGGGTAATTACTATTGGGAACAGCATAGTTCCTAGATAGTTGTATCATAATTACCAAAGAGAGTGTGCTGAATTTCAGGATCTCCAGGTATTCACACCTTTGAAGAATACCCGAAGTTGCGAATTACAATCAGAGATGTATGTAGTTGTATAATAGATAGATGTAGTCCACGAATACTCAAACACAGAATATAAATATCGAAGTACCTCCCAAGCTTTTAGACATCATCAAGTAATGGAGAAGAAACCTTAACAATATAATATTGTTTTTATGATTCTATTTTACTTTACCTATTTTACTTCACTCTTAATAGTCATAAACGAAACAAGTGAATTCGTACCTTTCTAGACAATCTCTATCTACCAAAACGAATCTTGGTTGGCCTAGACAACTCTGATGTCTATCAGGTTGTCTCCATCTAACAAATACTAGAGACTTAAAACCATGTTAGAGGAGAGTGTTAGCCATTATACCTCCAAGTTACAACTTGTTTGGAGTTCAAGTCATGCAGGAATCATCTTCATAACCTGCAATTCAGGTAATCTACACAGTTTCACAGAACAAACAATCTAGTAACTTCATCTGAAGTCTCCATAAAAAGGTACTTCTAAGGTAGGGTAACTTGACTTCATAGTAGGGTAACCTGTAGCATAAGGTAGGGTAACTGTAATCTAAAGATAGGGTAATACTACCCCAATATATTACTAAATAATTCAGAGTAATCTCTAAATTGACTACTTAGATTACCCTATCTAGTAAGGTACTCATCCTTCCTTACCAGTACCTAAGTACCTTCTGGCAGGATGTAACATGTCCAACTAAGATACTCGACTAACAGTACCTCTGTTTTGTAAACTCTTGGCTTCTACTATTCCTATTGCCATTGTCTCTTAATACCAGTTTGGGTACTATAGGTTTAGCTGTCTGTAATAGTACTCTTTAGAGCATCATTATATTTTAATACCAGGTTCCTTCCTGAATACTTCAATATACAGGCTAACACTTTCTGACTTTGACCTACTTGATACCAGCTTTCCAATGGTGTAAATAATATCTTCCCAATACTATTATCTGTAGATTTACAGCTAGCTTTAAAAGTGGTCTTTCCTGTCACAATTTTGACTATTTGCCTGCCATGTTACTCAATTTTTGTATTATAGCTTGCAATGAGATAAATAAATTCTAAGATGCTTTTAAACTAAAAACTCGTCATCTTAAGCTATAACCTAAGTATAAGTTATGTTTTATATTAGTTGTGTCCTGTGAATTCTGTATTTTAATAGATATATTCTGATATCCATTACTATATCTGGCTAGATGCTGTGAATTCCATATTGTAGTAGATATATTCTGACTTTGATTATCATATCTGGTTGTATTCTGTTAATTCTGTATTTTAGTAGATGTATTCTGATATTAGTTACTATGTATAGTTGTATCCTGAGTTTAGCTGGTATGTTCTGTTATGTACTAAGCATGGCAAGTGCATCCTGTTGCATCTTGTTGCATCCTGAGTTTACCCCTTACATCCTGTTATATCCTGAGATTGGTTGTCACATCAATTTGCATACTGGTTAACAATTTGTATTTGAAACATCCAATGTGTTTAATGTACAGAACGCATAGGACATAACCATTAATTTTTGCTGATGTTCAAATATTAAGTACAATACTATACTTTTTCATATATGTTAATCCAATAATACTGATTTTCTCATCATCATAATATTATATAAATTGCCTGAAATCCCTTCCAAAAATTATCAATATACTTTGACTCCTGCTTCATACTAGTGTTTACAGCAGCACAAGAAATTACCAATAATACTTTCAACAAGAAAGTTCACCATTCCACTTATCCAATATCAGAAAGGGATAGATAGCTGTGTGCCTGTCACTCAATAATCCAGTAAAACAGAATCACTTATTTCTCTAGTCAGGTCGATGGTGATTGATAGTATCCAATATGCAATGCATCATGGACCCTCTCCTCCTGTATACCAGCTCTGGAGGATTCTGCGAGAAATGTGGTATTCCTCAACTACTTTTTACTTCTATACCACGATTCTTTTTTTCAATAGCATCTAATTTTAAACTAATCGTCCGCTTACGCATATTCATGCCATTGTGATGATGTGACCGACCGCGGGTAGGGAGTTCCGTTGTCATGGTGGTTTTCATGGTGACCGAAAATTCTGGGTGGCCGAAAACCCCGTTACTCGGACTTACCCATAGCATCGCAAGTCTGAAATCGACTGTCGTCGTGACCAAATCCAACACCGAACAGGCCGCAACAACAGCAACAGGATTTGGGTGTGTGGGGGGGGGGGCTGTATAGAACTACTTGAAATTGGTTCCTCTTTAACTCTATGAGCTCCATTTCTTGGTAAAATGAGCATTGGTTGAGAACGGTAAGAGGGGCATGCCGAAAAGAAAGAAAAAAAGTCAACGAACATACAAATTTAAGCCAAGGGGCTTCATTTTGTATGTATTGCTAGGCGAAGAAAGGAAAGTGAAGAAGAGTCCGGCGCTATACTCCAAAAAAGAACAATTAATTGAGACAGCACGAGTGATGCAACATGATCTATGATTTCTCCCATCCGGTCTGGAAAAAAGAATCAAAAAATTCTTCATCCACCTCTACACTGTCCACAGGCCTTTCCCTGCCACTAGTGGTCTCTCCTCTAAGAATCTCTACTTCGATGGTTTGTCTATCAGCACACTCGTAGAATACCAACTTCTCCAGCGCCGGTAAATCCGAAAAGGCCTTTGCTAAGTCATCAATTGCATCCCTGCGGACGACATAGGGCTCCCCCAAATTCGGCAGGAATGGTGTCTTAATTGCAAGTCGCCTCAGGAAGGGATGGCCGGCAAAGGAACGAGCCCAATCTACCTTGAGTTCAGTGTCAGCAACCCTGAAGGGAGTCTTAAAATGGGTAGGGTGAAATACAGCTTTGAGATCACCGTATCTCCCAATTTGACTAATTCCGAAGACTTCCACACAGGGCAAATATTCTTTGAATGCCCGGCCAAAATGTTCTAATGCAGTTCTGGCCATTTCCAGCTTGCTATCTGTAAGGGTCCGCCCGCTGATATGAGAGGGCATCGGAAGGGCGAGATTCTTAATACCCGGTCCGTCACGCTGGAGGTGCTTTACCAATTCAAGGAGCTCATCCTGTAACATCCCACAGACTACAACATCGCGCTGCAATTTGAAGGTATCCAGCCCTTCAAACTGATCCAGAAAGGAATAGTAATCGGCCGGGATCTCATCAATACATGAGATCAACTGGCGGATGCCAGAACGAGATTCGGAAGATATAGAGAGAACAGCGCCCGTTCCAGCAGGGAGGTTACGAAGTGCGAGACGGGATATGCTAGGATTTCTATCGATAAAGGATGACAAACCTGCTACTGTCAAGTCTATCACCCGGTAGATACTTTGGAGAGGCCCGATCTCCAAAGTATCTAAAGAGGGAAGTGCAACATCGGTAAGAATGGCGTGGAGTTCTTTGGTGCCACTAATTCGAAGAGCCCGCAGTGATGGGGAACTGGAAAGGAAATTATTGAAACGGGAGTGCATGATCTCGTCGGCAGAGTTATATTCTGCCCTAGTGGCCTGCCAAGCATCCCCAAAAGGGGTTGGCCCCGGAATCCGAAACAACTCCGAGAGGAATTGCACGTGTAGCTCTTTGATGTTTGAGTGCAGGCTTCCATCAAATGGAAGATAGCGAACAAACGACGATGCTATATGGAGAACCTCTATCTGTGGGAGAAGACCTTTCAACAAGATCTCTGCAAACTCGACATCTGGATTGAATAGACGCAATTGGGTAACCCTAGAAAATCCGTTGCGGTCGATTATCTCTTGTAACTGAACTCTCATAGTTATGAGAGCCATCTCCCAGAGCTGCCGTTGGAGAGAGTAGACATGGGCATCTGTAATATAGAACTGATGTCCAATTGAGCACACAAAAGAGCAGATAAATGGGTTACTACCACACAAGGAATTAGCAAGTGGGCAATATTGCTTGACAATGACATGTCAAGAAGATCGTATCTTACCCATGGAGCGCAGAAACCATACTACTCATTTGCGGTAAGCCCGCACGTTTCTGGACCCCACTTGTTGGTATTGTTCGAGTATCGTTGTGGTCGAGAAAGTCTTCAATCTCGATATCGCGGTATAAAATCGGCATCGCAGACCTGTGACAAGACCGACTGACCAGAGCCGCAGCAGCTAGGTCCTTTTTCTCGACAAGATTTGCCATTATCTGGTCCACAATCTCAACCGGGAGCCTCATGTTGGGTGCGGTACCGCCAAGAACCCGATTTTCGCTCCTAGATATTCAAAGGGAAAAAACTGGACAAGGAGCAGATCCGACCGCTATGAAGAACTACGAGTAAGTAGGATGTGCAAGGTTTATTATATATGGCAGCAGTTTAGTAACGACGCAGTCTCAGCCTTAACTATGCCTCACGGGGTCCGGGGCCCCCCCGGTGCCAGGTGCGTAGGCAAAATGGAATGGATACTGAAGTTTGCTCCGACGAAGAAGAAAAAACAACCTCCATGCCCAACTTTGTGATGCTAGGTGTTGTTTGCTGGTGTTTGCTAGGATTGCTTCTGGAGGTGCTAGACGTCCGTGCTCTCCTATCGACGAATGGGCAAATCCGTGCCATGATACCTGCGCCAGGTGAAGAGAGCGGGGGTGGGCTGGACAGCCGAAAGTAGGGTGTGATAGTGGCACAGCAGTGCAAGTGGTTAGGCTTCTGTTCCGCCCCGTAATATCTGTAATTAGAGTCAAATACTCCATACACTACCAATAAATCAGAGTCAATGAGCATGAAAAATAAGATTGAAAGAATAGATGGGGTATACGTATATTTCACCCCTCACTCCGCCCCGACACCATACGATTCCTACCACCATCATCAGCAGAATCAGCATCATCATTATCATCATCATCACTATCATCATCGTTCTTGTCACAATTGTCAGCAGGGTTAGCATTATCCTCGCGATAGAAACAACGATACTCGCGTTAACTCATCGAATCTAGATATAATATACCACAACTTAACCTGAAACCTCTCCACGTAACCTCTCCTTCTGTGCTTGTAGCTGACAGTATCAAAATGCAAACCAAGTACCCGCACTCAATTGGGTTACACTGATCTATCGCACCGGTAGCAGCTACAAGTACCTAAGCGCCCAATAATTTTTTCTCCCTTCGCTTTTTCCTTTTTCCCTCTGTTTGCTTCGTTGCTGCCGATTCCCCCTGTGGCCAAGGCTCGCTTAAAGGATTTCGAAAACGCCACACTTTGTCGGTGAGTTGATATCCCCGTCACTGGCTCCCCAGCACCACAAAAACGACCACTAAAACCATGTTCACCGCCTCACACAATCATTGTCGCTCACTCGCGGCGACTCTTGAGCCCTTTCGTATGCAGCCATGCGCCCACGCGAGCACCCTTCTCTCCCATGTGCAGTGCAGGATCACCAAACTTGCATCGACGTGTTCGGTGGGTGCCAGTGTCGGTGAAGAAATCACCTGACTCTGAGGGAAATATCTCTCCGCCAAAATTCCCGCAAAATTATTGGTCCCAATCTCCCGATGTCTGAATACGTGTTTATATAAAAACGCATACTCTTGATCTTCAAACTATTCGACAAAAGCGCGCCAATAAAGCACCTGCATAGCTTTGTTTCTCCCCCTCCTCTCCCCGTCGAACCCCCTGAGCAAGTAATTGCACCCACAACGAGGCGTTTCAACAGATGCGCTGAGTAGACCTTGTTACACCTACAACTTTCCCCACGCACCCGGCGACTACCGGTCTCGTGTGTATCAGAGCCCACCACCGATCACGCATACTCGCTAAAAAGAAAAAAAAAATCTTTCTCGGCACCATCAATTCATCCTGAGTCCAACGAAATGGATTACCGGGGTTTTGTATCAAATGTTGGTTGGATTACCCTCTGCGATAACTTAGCTTTAGAAATCCTCTCCCGGGAAGTTGGAAGCTTTTCCCGATAGCCATCCCCCAGATTTGGTGAGATTTCTCTCAGTTTCTCCCCAAAATTTGTTTGGGATCTCCCTCAAGACATGGCCACCACAGCCGACCGGCCGGCAGTTGGCCCTATATCAGATTGATCTCGCTCAGGCAATTGAGACTTTCGATGCCAACCTGACACATCAGTACCCGTTGTAATACAGGCGCTGAGGCCCTAGCCCGGAACGGGCGTTCTGAATGGAACAGTCTGAGTCTAGGATAAACAGGGCGCGGGGAAATCGACAGCTTTTGATACTCTCCTTGTGCCCAACACCACCAACGGAGAGTTCGTCTAAATCAGTAAGGCCATGCGAGCACCCGACGGGCAATTACTCGTACAGTGCGGTATTGTGGGTTTCTAAAACTGCCTCCGTTGTGGTGCAAAGACCTTAATAAGTATTGTTTGCGTGAGATCTTGTAAAGCGGTCATAGCAGAAGGGAGACCATAAGTATTAGTATTCCAGAATATTGATGGCACCACCAGATACCAGTATCATACCACGCAGTCGTGGATTACCGTAGACGGTCCTCCAACGACGGGATTGTGCTAGGGCTATGTTGGGGTTCTATGTATATATTAAGAAGTAAATTCCTACCGGAAATCGTTTCTGTCGACCGCCCCAGCAAATTTAGGTACCCCAGCCCTGTTTAGAACAAGGCTGGATAAACAAGAGGATGAGTTTCCGAGGTGACACGATGAGCCTCCGGTTGTTAACCCTACTATACAAATTTCCTCCATGTAATCTGCACAACAGTGGTGTGCTCGAGCATCGCTGCGGTAGAAAGCATAAATCGTTATGCTTCTTAGAAGGGGTGTAGTCCATAAGCAAAACGAGCGAAGGGAGCTCCCGGGAGCTCCACCGAACACGCGGCTCTCCGTGATACTAGAAATAGGGGATCTTAAAGGTTGTACAGACAAGTGTGCATTAAATTTATGAAATAACTGAGAGGCCCCTCAACCCCCTGAGGAGAAACCCTTGTGCCCCGATCCCTCAGCCAACCTCTCCTACCCACCCCACGGAGAACTTAATCATAGGCACTCACTCGACAACCGACGAAAAAGCAAAGAAGCACTCCAGAACAACACGGACACAGCAGAGGTCCACCACCAGGGTGAGATCTTGACCGTGTGCTGGGTGCCACTAGCCGGGGATGTGAACCCCATACGTGACACAAGGCACCGGGTTACCGATCCAGCGATCCAAACAAAATTGAAAGGCTTGGTTTCAATGGGCCCTATCACCCCCGGTCGCACAGCTCGCCAGGCCCGCAAAGCCAGATTGACGTTATATGATAGGTTATGAGCTGGCGGCCATAAGTGCAGGTACCACTAGGTAGACTCCCAAAGTCATATCATAATAGGGGGGGTTTGACTGGGCGGCGGTGACGATAATGGGGATGCAAGCGAACAACAGTGCATTGTTCCTTTAGATCCGTAGAACCCCTAAATTTAGGGCTCCCAAGGCGAGACTCGAGTCTCTCATCTGAATGCAAGCCCTCTTCTGGCGCGGATATTCTTCTCGTTTTGGCGATGAAATGATTTACCAAGGGAAGATGAATATGCCGTTAGCATGAGAGCAGAGATCAAAGGCTCGGAAGGTGTGGTATTGACGCGTGGCCACTACACTTCATCCCAACTATGATACATCAGGCGGGAAACCATTTGTGCAACCTGTTGGGTAGAGCCAACTCCCACTCCTGTGGACCGAATGTCTGCTCCGGTGTGTATGATACCCCATCTCCCTTCCCGAGTTCTGCTTCCCCCACTTTTATTGTTATCCTTCCCCTTACCCTATCCTTCGCATCAGCAACAAAAACACAACATGCACCTAATTTTACCAGCGAGGTGCGTGAGCAAAACACCACTCTGGGAGCATCCATACCCCTGAATTTCCCAGCGAGAGAACCTCTTCCCCGGAGCGCGCTACCCGAACCTACAAGTAGGGTGGCAGGCACGGAGCACACGAAAACAGGGATCAAAATTTGTACGGCAAATTATCTGTACAGAATACGGCGCCCTGTACAAAATTCGGACTCAAATGTATCATACAGATGCTTTATACTGGATACCTATACTGTAAGGGAACTCTGCGTACCACATTGTAAGTGAGCACCCTCCAGCGGTATCACAACATCCATGAAATGGAAGATATGATAATTATTATGATACCCGAAATCTATAGTAATCTTTAAGGGTTAGGTTTCGATTCCCAGGGCGTAACGTAGAAACATCGGCAAACTTCGAAGAGTCATCCGTTTTCGGTGCCCAGGCTGTTTGCGCTTTGGGCCAAGTACGGTACGGTAGCCGGCCAAAATCAATGATTGGATCACACCCAGATTGCCCTGGAGCCACCAGTATCTGAGCCTGAAATCCACAGAAGTGCTGTCCAAGAAACCACCTACGGGTATTAATAATATTTCCCAGTTTTGATTCGTACGAGACAAAACAGGATGCCCTGCTGTGGAGAGTTGCGCCAGCCGGAAGCAGTTATCAATATGACCTATCACTTTACCGGTACTCGAGTAGTCGGGTCCTATAGGATCAAATAAAACAAGAATGTAAGTGCACCTTAGCGCGGCTTCATCAATTAGCACTCGGTTAAAGGTCCGGCGAATTTATTGAACAAGGAGCAATTCCCCACTTTAACAATTCATCGCTCGAGCTACCCTCATACCTCCACGGTGCTTACTCTAGTTGTCGTTTTGTGTGATTTTTCTTTGGTTCTCTGGTCCGGCCCCGTATTCCCGTCCTTCATTCTTCTCGTACTCCCGGGAGCCATATCATCCCCGAGGAGTTAACTCAGCGGTGCCCAGGTTAGGCCATACCATGTTCGGATCTGCTTTCCTGCATTTGTCGTGGATTTTGGTGCACAATGGGGGCATTGAAGGCCACGGAGGTAAGGTACAAGTATGGAGATGAAGTGCGAGGCAGCTAGGGATCCTTGAACCGGAACACGGGATAACAAAAAAATTGTACTCCCGAAACAACACTACCTCCGGGCGCAAGTAAAATTAGGCTCCCTTGGGTAGATACTAGCACAAACCGTAAGGGGAGTGATATGTGAACATCATCTTACGCTATTAGGAAACTATCCCTGAGGAGAAAAACGACACAAGAGCATATTATCCACTCCGATCCCCACTGGTGATATCATACAATTAAGGGACCTTCTCGGCTCCCAATCACCTACTCAATGCATAACCCATGCTCCGAACCAGAAACGCAAGCAAAACAAAACTCAGTCAAGTTAGAAAACATACCCAACCGAGCGGTCCGTGAATCAGCTCAGTTGGGAACTTCAAAGTCCGCAACATCATACAGCCAGTTAAAGAGCACCAGCAGCGTTTTGCACGGTAAACCCAGTAACCTCCTAAAGTAGGGCCGTGGCACACAATTCCTCCTCTCACCGACACACATCGTGAGTTGGATCTACAGGCAGACACGTCAATCGATTATCACGCAACCCAGCGATAAGATATCGTAAGTCGTTCGTGGGGTACGGTTACAGAGATTCACTGCGCATGGCCCCTAAATATAGAGATAGAAGATGCATCGCATATCATATGAGGAACCAATAGGGAAAAGCGTTACGAAAGTGTCAGTCCCTTGGGGAGCCCTTTCTACCGGAGAGATGTGACCGCAGAGTTTAAACGCCGTATAATGGCAAGCAGAGATTCACAACCGAAACCCCCCCCCTCCCCTCCCCTCCCGACCAGGTGTAAAGCAAGCAATGCTTATGATACCACAATGCATGGGCAAGGGCTCCGAAGTACTGTATTATGTGATATCATACCCACTCTATGTTTTTTTTATATCATACAGGGTACGAAGATTCGGATTAGGCGGGATGGTAAGATAGATAAGATAAGTAGGATCCCCTCATTTGCGACCCCACCCCGCGCGGAGGGGGTGGTTGCTTTTCTTTTTTTTTTTTTTCGAGGGCTTAATTCACCTCACTTTCGCTTCCGCGATACCGAGCTTACGCTCCTGGCAGTTGTCGGAAGCGGGATCTTTCTTACTGGACTGTGCTGACAAAAGGCCGTGTGATAATAGCCCCCACTCTCCCTAGGTGTCATAGAGCGCGCCTGGTTCAAGCTGTGGTGGATAGCGCGGATCTGAAACGGTACCGGGGTACGACTCCGGCTGGATATCCAGCAAAGCAAGCAAGCAGTGGGGAGAGTGTATATATATACTCCGGGTGCTCCACTACCAGACTGTGATACAAGCTACCTTGGGAAGCAGGTACCTTATGATACCGTGCTGTACTGTACAAGGTGGCCTTCCGCATTCTTGAACTGCAGATATTCGAGTGTACGGCAAGTTACGTACTGAACAGCGCGTCATCATCCCCGGAGGTATAGATACGCCCCAAACGCCCGGTGCGTTTCACCCAGATATCACACCGAGCACTCGGCCTCACACGCCCTCCACCGGTAAACGTTCGCCAAGCGCCTAAGCAAGAAGCGTAGAATACCACAAAAGAGACCACCAACCACCAACCACCACCCCCATGCGACACACATAATTCATCAACATGAATCACCCACGCATATATCCCTCCCTTTTAAATAGTGACAAAAGCACCGTACAAGAAATTAAAAATCCAGTATTTAAAACCTCACATCCGAATATCATACTTAGGAACTCGGACTCCGCAGAAGCAACGATATATATCAAAAGCAAAAACAATCAATTATCATACCCACACCCCCATCCAGATCCAAGTTTCGTCAGTCATCCCTGAGAAATATTTCCGAGTATGACATATGGGTGAATAAAAAAAAAGAGTTCGGTGATAATAACAGATATTTTTTTGTAATTATTATTATTATTTCTTACCCCCTCTCTTCTCGGAATATAGCCATCACAGCCTAATCCACTGACGAGTAACCCCCCCCCATCCACCTCTTTTGCTACTCTCCTCCCAGAAATACTACTAGATCATGGAAGGGACGTTAAACGGCAGGCCACAGAGAAAGGGATCTTATCGGACAAGAAGTGAGAAAATGGATAAAAAGTCATTATCATACCCCCCTCTCGAGTGACGAAGGTGAATTGTGGTGGTCAACAAGCGATTATGAGGGAAGGCGGCCCCGAGCCTTTTCGCCATTGCCCCGTCAAGGGATTATCGAGATATCATGTACAGAGTGGTCGGTTGGTCGGCCAACTTAAGCCACCATCCATTCTCCCTCTCTCCCTCTCCTTCCCCCGTCCTATCCTCCCTCCCCAAAAACCTATTTCCCATTCTCCTCAGATTAAAAGGCACTTCTGCGGAAAGTCTGATTCTGGTCGAGTTCAATTTCAAAGGCTCGTCGGAGTGGGGTGAGAGAGAGAGAGGGGGGGGGGGTGACCGTGGGCCCCGAGGATTATTGCCGTTTCTATTATAATGACACTGGCTAGAAAGGTTGTCTGTTGTATAGTTATGGAGCCTAGGGAAATGGGAAATGTGGACTAGTAAATGGATGGATTGGTGGTAGTGGCTATTGGTAGATCAGGGCCGGATATCTAACGGACCTGTGGATGTGGTTGCGAGCGCGGTATGATATGATACTGCTTAACCGTGTGAATGGGATCAAAGATGGGGCTAAAGTTGACCGGTAGAGGCTGTCTCAAGAGATTCGTTTACATCTTCTGCGCATTTGTTTCAACTTTTTAGACCATCCTTTGCTTAAATTATACAGCGCCAGTCGAGCCAGCTAGTATGATATCATAATATGTAATGTAGAAATATTGAGACAATACAGCACCCCTACCAACCCCACCGCAGCCCCATAACCCCTGCCAACCAAGAATAAATCCCGGACCCCTCGAACGTAACTAGGACCCCCAAGCGCACCCTAATTTACACGTCCAACCACCACAAGCCGGGGTTCTGGCCAACACCCCCGTACAAGCCAAAAAGTATAAGAGACTATCCCGTCAGAAGCACGGTTTGTAATGAGTGACAAGCCTTATAAATTCCGGTGCACCAAGTACCTTTCCCTACCTACCACACCGCACGAACGTAAAAAGCAAAAGCACGCACGAGTGAGAACCTATGAATAAAAAAGATAAAAAGACAAAAACCGGATCGTAGTCATTACACAAGGATGGTGGGTATCATGGTAGACAGAAAAAACAAAAACAAAAAGATAATAACTGGCAAAAAGGAGGGGGGCAAATGGAGTAACTCCGAACACATGCTGAACCATTCCCTCGAAGAAGAATGAAAGGGATAGACACTATAAGTAGGAGGCTTGAGGAAAAATACGAAACGGAAACGGAAACTGAAAGGAAATTGAAAACTAAAAATTAAGAGCGATCACATACTACACTACACGAACGCGAGAAAGTGAGAAAGCGGCCGAAATCATGCAAGGAAAGGAAAACGGAAAACGGAAAACGAGTAGCGGGAGGAAGGGGAAGTAAATCGATCACTCCGGGTGTATGGATACACAAAACGACCAGCTCTTCACAGACAAAGCAAGTCATAGAAGGACAAAAAAAGCGAAGCAAAGCACAGCCACAGCACCTATCACCTACAACCCACTAGCCCTCCTCGAAAGCCTTGGCACAGGCGGTACACTCCCAACGTCAGGAACCGGGGGCGGCGGAGAATGGCGAGCGCCCTTAACGCCACCTACTCCACGACCAGCTGTCGCCGCCGAAGCACTATTACCACGACCACCACTCAAATTCCCCAACACGGGCGTAGAGGCCCTCTTCGGCAGCGTGCGCAATCCTGACCCAAGTGAATACGGCCGACGAGCATTCCTGGGGGTAGAAGTGTGATTGGCTTCGCCGAGACTCTCGATAATCGTCATCCCGGCCATGGCGGTGGCATTGAAGCTTCCGCCGAAACTAGTGTTCATGACTGGTGAGAGTGGGACCACTGAGAATCCCTCATCCACCTCGTTATCGTCCACTTCCGTTTCTTCGCCTTCAGCGATGTCGGACCGGTTTGTTGCTTCGTCGTTGCTTCGTCGGGGGTTTTGCTGTTGGGGTGTCTCGGGGTCGGTGGTGGCGACGGTCCTGACAGTGGAGTTTGTGATGCGTGCTGGTATTTGCGGGACAGGTGGGACATTGGCTCCCCGGGTGGCGATTTCGAGTTCTTGTCTGGCCCTTTCCAGTTGCTCCTCCAGGTTGCTGACTCTGTTCCTTAGTCGTTCTTGCTTTTTGAGTTCGCGCTTTGTTGGACCGCGTTCCCCCTTCGTTGCGCTGTCATCCTTCTTGTCGTCTTTTCCGATAATGGAGTTGACGAAGACTTTGCTCTTCTTCTTGACTAATGTCCCCACTCCGTTCAACTTGTTGGCGGCGCCCTCAGCAAGAGGGGGGGGAGAGAGCATTCTCGAGGACGTTCGGGAATGACGGGCATTCCGTCCACTGGTGCTACCGCTTCGGCGATCGGAAGCTCTAGGAAAAGTCAACGATGCGCGAGAATGATCCGACAGTGATGACCTCATAGAGTGATCCCCTCGAACCCCAGATTCACTCCGCTCACTGCCACTGTTGCGCTGCTCGACGGAAATAGCCATTCCACTTCTAACGGAATTAGTCACTCCTGATATCCCCTTCTCCTCACTAGCGCCAGCTGCATCATCTCCAACAGAAACCTCATCGCCTGAGTCCGTGCCCAGAGCCATCCCGATATCCTCATGATTGCCGTCCATTCCTGCCATCACATAATCTTCGTACCTAAACCTGATCTGATTCGCACCAGCAACAGCAGCAGCATTCCCAGTAAATCCCTGGGCTGCACCAAGTCTCTTCATTTCTTCATAGGCCTTCTCGCTCCTCTTTCTCCGATCGGCCAACATCCTCTTCTTCCGCTCATGAGCAATGTATTCAGCCTTCTGTTTTTCCCATATGTCCTTGATACGATGAGCGAATTTGAACGGATTCAGAGCACCTGCTGCAGTACCTATCGAACCAAGTAGACTTGGGCTTGCAGAATTCATAGCAGCACTGCCAGTGCTGTCGGTGCTCTGTCTCTGTGCCGGTTCATATGCGATCTCGCCCTCATGTCTGTTCGGGGAAGAGCTAGGGAGCAGCCCAATGATATCTTTAGGAGGAATTGCACTTGCACGATCTCTCATGCTTCCTTCAATAAACTTGCTAACAACCGTAGATCCCGTATCGGCAGAGTCGGAGGCCCGCATTCGCTGCTTCTTGGGGGGTGTTGGAAAGTGCTCATTTGCTCTTGCCTCCCCCGTAACCGTAGAAGCCAACCTCCGATTGGACATTTTCCTCTTAGCCCTCTTGGGAGTCCCTGTTTCCTCGTCATCAGATTCGCTGTCAGAAGACACAGGACGATAGGCGTGGTCGGCATCGGACTTTCTCTTCTTCCTATATGGTCTAGGAGTTAGGCGATCAGTTGACTTCTCGCTCCCTGCAACGCATTCGAGTCTACCGAGGACTGCATCCCCATTTTGTGTCTGTGCCTGGCTCGTGCTACCCAATTTTGCCGATGCCTCCTTTCTCCTAGCATAACTCTCTCGTCCCCTAATCCTCCTAATCTCTCTCTTCTCCTCCGTAAGAATACTCATCTGTCTACCCCGCTGCTCCTCCTCCGGATCGTCAGGTTCTGTAGCATTGTCTTCGTCATCATCGGGTTCAATATCCTCGTAAATATCTTTTCCCTCAGACACCTTATTCAGATCAAACGTAGAGGTGCTCATCCTAGCTCTCAAAGTTTCCCTCAACACCTAAACAGACTGGTCAGAAACACTAAAAATGAAATGAAAAGAAAGGCGAGAAACGCCAAACTCGGATGGGAAATTGGTTACCTTCTGAGGTGTCGAGAGCATGTTGTCACCCATCTATAGATGAATTGGTTTAATCGCGTAAAAGCGCAGCGCAGCCTCCCTTCGCGCACTCGAAGAATTTAGGAGAAAAGAGAAAAGAAAAAAAGGCGTGTTGTATCGTCAATGTGCAGCGATAGTGAGGTGAACACCCGGCGGCGGTGGCAGCGGATACCCACCTATTGGTGGACAGGGCTATGGAGAGGGGGGATGGTATCGCTGTGGAGGGGAAAGGAGAAGAAAAAGAAAGAGGGATGAAAGAAATAAAAATAAAAAAACGGGTTTGCGCCTGCGAGCGAGGACAAATTTCACACGTGATTTCGCTATTTTCCTCTGTTTAGGAAAACTACCGTTTCGAGACATAAGTTACGGAGAAAAAACAAAACACTGCAGCAGCCGCACATCACAAAAGCACGAAAGATGGAGGATGGAATCAACCTTAAGTATTCTCATTGATTTTTCTCTCTTTTAAACTTGAATACAGGATGAGGCAAAACAAAGGCAAAAATAAACCTAAAACAGGTACAAAAAGGTGGGTGCTTACTTGACAAGGCAAAATTACAAGAAAGTTCAGACAAGTAGAGTTGATAATACTAACGAAAAAATAACTAAATAATGAAACCTAAACCTCCTACAAATTTTCTAACATGGTTTCCCTCCAATGGAATCGAATAGCCGTTATTACAGACGAACCCATGAGACAATAATATCAAATCAAACAAAAGAAACAAAATGCCTTCATGGTATAGATTACGGGTCATGATTATCGAAACAGAGCCCTAAAAAGCAGATTCATAAAAGCAAAACTCCCCCCGCTCCCAAAACTTGAAAAGATCACGCAAACGAAACGGCGAGAAGAGATTTGGTAATGACAAGTTTAAAATGTTACTTGCTGCCCCATCCAATTTTCCTTTCCTTCCTCCCCAAGTAAACCCAGCTTAAAAAAGGCACAGAAATAAAAAGCAGATGGAAAAGAAAAATTCGAGGGAATTTTGTTCGCAAGGAAAAAAGTAGGTTAATAAGACAAATAGAGACTATAAGCATACCGTAGTCGTAATACGAACAATCTCCGAAAGAAGGAAATGATATATGAACTTGGAAAAAAAAAAAACCCCAGCCTCCTATGGACAGACGAAGAAAAAAGAAACAAGGTTCGCAAAGAAATATAGAGCGTAAGAATGATTGTAGTGTAGCTGACGATTTCGTAAAGGAGAATGTCAGATCCTGACTGAAGTTGTCCATAAGCCGAAATGAGATTCCCCCCATGATTCCAATGTACAGTTCCAGACTCAAACAGAGCAAATGGATACCAAGAAAAAGAAAAGGAAAAAAAGTCGAAGTCGCCAACCAGACAAATCAGGATATCATAAAAACACACATGCAAAAACAAGAATCTCCAGATCAGGCCAAAGCAATTCAGACCGGAACAAACACCAAATCCATTATAACGGGCTTAGATATCACTCGCTACTGTTTAATCTTCTCCCGGCAGCCTGTGAACAATCTCGACACCATCGGCACGGCGATAGCTCATCTTCAGCTTGCCAAAATCGTAGGCATCATCATCAACTTCAGGCTGTTGAGCATATGGTGGGGGGTCGCTTCCATAAGCAGCAGAGTTCGAAGAAGGTCTAGAACGGTTCTGCATTGGACCCTCAACATGGGCATTGTTGAACACTCGCCCCCAAGGCCTCTTAGTGCCTCTACCTTCTGACTCCTTCGCAGGCGCACTGCCGTTGGAGGATCCCCAAGAATCGTTGGATGGAGCCGGCGGTGTAGTATATTTTGGCTCGGGATAATAGGCAGGGAACTGGTTGGGATTTGGCGGTGGTGGAGGTTGAGACATCTGGGGCGGAGGGGGCCTTTGAGACGGCATAGGCGCATTTGTGTGAGGTGGATAAGCACCAGGCGAAGGTAGAGCAGCAGGAGGATTTGTAGAGTTGGGGGTAGTAGGTTGGCTGTTCCAAATTTTCGGCTCCAGCGCTGGCAAGCCCAATGCCGGCAACCGAATAGGAGGAAGCGAGTTGCCTGTAGATTGAGGTGGAGGCGGTGCGTGCTGTTGTGGCTGTTGTTGAGGCTGTTGATGGTGATACTGTTGCGGTGCAGGGGGACCAGGTTGGTAAGGCTGGTGTTGCTGCTGCTGCTGGTGGCCATAACCATTCTCCATCTGACCATAAGGAGACGCTACAGGCGTTCCAGGTCTATAATGTTGAGGAGGTTGTTGGCGGTAAGCCGGATCAGAATCCCTTCTTGCGCGGAATTCGCCAGAGTCACGTCTGACATGATGAGGTTCATGTCTGGGCTGTTGCTGAACCTGTTGGTTGGGCAACGAAATCGAGTTCTCACGCGAGTGGTATTGGGGTGCACCGTATGGGTGCTGCTGCGTGCGTGTAGACGAGGGCATATGAGGGGACGGATGGTGCACATTATTCTGTGCATGGGATGGCGGCGGAGGATAGCGAGATTGCATATCCTGTCCATAGAGTTCTTGTGGTGGGTGAACATGTGGTGCGGGTGGTGCGGGCGGTGCGGGGGCATGACCATTGCTTCCAAAGGATAGATGTTGATGCGCACTCTGGGATGGTGGCCCTGCGGGAGGTCCATATGGAGGATAGTTCTGGTTAGGAGTCGAATATCCATTTTCGTGTCTCGGAGCCTGTGGCATATCTCCCATGGCGGATATCATAGAGGCATCAGATCCACTTCTCTTCCTATTAATGGAATTAGAACGCTGCATTGGGTGAGGCGTAGACTGATGATATTGCGGCGTATGTTGCGCCCTAATTGAGTTCTCAATTTCATATTGGTCTGGTGTAGCTGCCCTCCTCGATGCCCTCAACATAGCAGTCTCATCCATATGACGGTCCTCACTATCCCTGCTAGGCCTATCGCTCCTCCTTCTCATCCTAACATCCCTCCTAATTCTCACACGGCAACCTTGTTCAGCCACGATCCTAGATAGAGCGGTATTCTCTGCCAATCCAGGAAACTTCTTGGCGGAAAAGACAGTGAACGCCCTAGACTTAACATCCAACCTGTGGGTACAATATTCCCTTGGCTCCAATGGGTCCTGTGGGGCGGGATATCCCTCCTCTTCCTTGGTCTCCTCGTAAAGGGCAAACCTAAGTCTGTATTTTCCCTCATGGCGAACAGAAAGATCTGGGAAGATGAAATACCCAGCCGGATTGGGGCGATCCAAGTATGCCATACCAGAAACCGGAACACCTGTCAAAACTGGCGCCGGAGCCGGAGCTGGCATTCCTCTTCCTTGAGCAATAGGACGTGCCTGTTCAAGTGTAGCGAAAAGGAAAAAGTTGGAGTTATGAGAAAAGGTTCTACCATCGCCATTAGCCAAGCTTGCACAAAAAAGTCATATATCCAACATACACGTCAGTCTTCTCATGTCCCTCGAATAATCTCAACTCCACAACCGGCGGAGGATCAACTGGTCTACGATCCGCATGTGCTATATCCAGTAAACTAATCAGTAAATTGTTCTTCGCTGCTAAATATAGAGGTACTAACACTTTGCACCTTGCCCACAGGCTCTCGCCCTTTCAGGTTGTTGGAGAACCTGCATACGATACTCAAGCTTGGTGCCATTTTGGAGGGTACGACTAACTGTCGCTACCGTCTCTGAAACATCGTGAATACTAATAGTCTTCGGGCCACTCATTTTGGCCAAATGTTCCCCAGTAGATTGCGAGAATCTACTGAACTTCTCCAATCCCACTAGTCAGCAACAAGTAAAATATTGCTCAAACCAAATCGAAAAAAGTTACTTTAAATTTTGATTTGGTGAATCGAAATAGCCAGATCCGTATGCAGGTTCGAGATACTCAGTATCGAATAAAAGGCACGAAAAATACTTGAACGAGAGTTGTATTTTTCTGTGAAGAGGCAGTTTATGTCAGCGGTCAAGTATTTAACCAAAGCCCCTTCGAGTTCAAATGTCAGGAAGACGGGAACAAAACACTAAATTGAGACGAGGGAGGAACAGATCTCAAAGCCGTCCATCCCCAGGAACTGCGCAAGACCCACGCCGAAGAAATAAGTTCACTCACTTTCGCCTTGATGTAAAGAAAAATTATAAAAATTCTGATCCAAGAAGCTTTCTTCTTATCTCCCTCCCTGGATCTTGATTTTTAAAATGTAAAAATCTGCAGAGACGCTTTTCGAAACTTCTCGTCTCTCAAAAAAACCGCCTTTCTCCTTTGGCGCCGGATTTATTTTTTCCGCGCGTCGCCGCACACCTTCACAATCCCTTTCTATCCCAGAGCCTGGCGATCAGTCACCCGGTATTCCTCGTGGCTTCGCAGCCGAAATTCTGAATTGAGTTCCGACGTGGAAATACTGATGGCTACTGCGAAGAATGATTGTGGATAGCCAGAGTTGAATAGCAGATGGGAGACAAAACAAAGATGTCTTTTAACACTGCCAGCTAGTTAATAATAACAAGTGAGCCACCGACACTTTCTCTCCACTGAACAGCGTTGGTCCAGGAGAAGAGCTGTGCGGCAGGAGGTGGTGATTATCCGAATTCGCGACTTACTCGACCCGTCGCATACCTCGGTGGTGGTGGGATGGAGAAGATAGGGAGGATCAAGAACAGAGGGTGGGAGAGGAAGGGAGTGAGTGAGGGCTCAGAAGAAGGGAAGGTGGTTGGAGTCGGGAGAGGACTGATGCAGACGGCAGCGGACGGACAGTACAGTAGGAGAGAAAAGAAGGGGGGTGTGTGGCAGTAAGAGGTGGGAGAGATGGGAGGCGAGGACCACTGAGAGACCTGGGAGTGTGGGAGTGTGGGTGAGTGAAGAGGCTTCATACTCATGTACCCTTTACCGTACCAAATCAAGTGTTAACTGCGGCTAACCCCTAGACCGTCCAGTCCAAATGTGCACTGGGCAGACTTGGTACGGTAATTATTCTTACATATTTTCTACACGGAAACAACAAGGGCGGATATTGCTCCACTCCTAACTGCCTTGATTCTGTTTTTGTCTCATTGCTTTCTTTGCTCCACAACAGTTGGCCACAGACGTGTGGAGTGTATGTATCTCGCCCCCCATCCCTCCCCTTCCTGCTCTGCCCGCTGCTGCTTATGATTCTGCTTCTGCTTCCCATGCCCGCAATGAAAAAATGAAAAAATGGAGAAAAAAATGAAAAAAATGAAAATTGGGGACAGAAGGTACAACAAGTACGTACGACGTACAAGCATGACAATTCCAGGTCCAGCTGCTCGAGTACGAGTACCGTAGCTACCGGCGCAAAGAACTAGGATTGAACCAGTTAACTGCTCATATCTCACACACCAAGTCTCGCTCCTCGCAAAACCACAGGCTCACTCTTCTTCCCTCTATCTACTGTACAAGTACTGTAACTTCCTCCCTTCCACCTCAACCGCCCCCAGACCGCACAACGGAGCTCGAAGAAGGATGAGAGATATTAAACAACTAGCGAGGTGCATGAGAAACCGGCAAGAACAAGACTCCTACAGATCCCAGTCCCAGAGCGTGGGATGGGGACCAGCATACCCCCCTGATTGGAGCTTGGCGCTTTCAAGTGCATCTTGGGTGTGTGTGTGGGACCTTGGTGTGTGGTTCGTGGTGGGGGTTGGCCTTCTCTTTCCGTCAAGCGATTCCCTGTTAAAGGTCTGACCCGTTTTCCCAGAGCCCTTTGTGTGGTAACCGTGGTCACTGGTCACCAGCGGTTGAGGACTCGCTCTGGGGTGTCCAGGCTCCATTTCTGGCTGGCTGCGCTGATTTCCCTTTCTTTTTTTTCTCTCCATTAATTTTTTCCTTTTCCTCCCTATCGACTACCTGTCCCAGGCGATTTAAATTTACCGATTGGGCTTCTGGCACACCATTTTACTCGTAGTTCTGGCTCCCTCCCTTCATTTCTTTGGGATTTCTTCGGCTTATACCTGCCTCAAGGCCACGGCAATCGCACGTTTTTCTTGAGCCATCCATCCTTCCCGACTTTCCCCATGTCATACAAGTACGCTTGCTCTCTTCGAGCTGAATTGAAATAAAAAAAACTATTGGTCTCCCATCTACCGTATGTCACAAAACAACTGACCGAGCACCACTCCCCGGTTCGCTTTGGCCATTTGGTACAGTACTGTACTCGTACTTGTGCCCCGGAAAGCTTCATCATAGGGTACCGCAAGCGCAACACGAACGAGTGCGGCAATGGAACATGAACATTAGGGAAAGGGCAAAATATTAACCTATCATAGGCATCAATAGTCTATCGTTACCCCCTCAAACGGGGAGAAAATGGAAGATATTGTATCCAGAAGAAGAAGGGGGAACTCAAAGATCAGGAAAAATCCCAACGCCCAAAGTTCTGTCTCTCGCACCATGTCCCTGGTTCATGAAATGGGAAAGGCCAACCAACCACGGCGTTTCTTATACACCTAATTCGGTAACCCAAATTGCCGATTACCTACAATACAGTACTAGTGCGAGTACAAGTTACAGTAATACCTGTAATCCTTACCGTACCAGCATGATAAAGGTTTCTTTTTCCCAACCGGTTCTTGTTGAAAGCGAAGATGGGAAAAAGAAAGTGAAGAAAACAAAACAAAAAAGAAAGAAAATAAAAATAAATGAAAAAGAAGAAAAGAAAAGTTCGTCTCTCATGCTGGCTGCTGACTCGAACGCTGTGGACACAATACGGTATTCATTCACTTCCACAAGGGCACTGTTTGGTACGAGTAAATCCGGCAAAATAGTTCCAAGCGCTGTCACAGTATGATAAGTATGATACTGTATGATAATTACTTGTATCATATTATTCAATACTGTAATTAAATTTCAACAATAATTCTCGCGCTTGGCACAAATTCCCATACCAGACCATGGTACTGTACTGTGGCGCGCCCACCCACGGCGGAGCAGAGGACCGTACGGTATTAACCTGTAACCAAAGTCCATCCACTACCCCAGGCAATACACTGTACGAGTAGAGTGCCTGCTGCTAGGTCTGTGTCTGGAAGTAGAAGCCATTCACTTTTCCACTCTGCCTTCCCAGGCACCGACACCACCACCACCACCAGCCGAACATTAAACGACCTCTTCATTTTACCGGTAACCTCTTTTTACCCATCCTCCTCCTCCTTGCCCTTCCAGGGATTAACCTCACCTGCCCTGCAACCCATCTCCTGGTGTGTGTGTGGAGTTTGAACATTATTGGCTAGGGGGGGGGAGGGCTGGATCCACTTTATCTGTGTTAGCCAAGCTTTTCGGCCATAACTCGAGTGAACCATTTTTGTTCTGGTCGCTGAGTGAACGGGTGGATGGACGGGGGGGGGGGGAGGTCGGCCACGCTGCAAGGCAAATAAGGCAATGCCTTATGATACTTACCTCTTCTTATTTACAGTCAGGGTGTTCGAAATGCTAAGAAATGCTCGCGTTGCTCGCACAACGGTCCTTGCTTGCGTTTCAGAATTTGGGTTTTCCGAGCATTGATATTGTGCGTTGACAAAATTAACCGCGATTCAACAATTGGTGGCAACCCACCCCACTACATCACCCCACACTCTCAACAGTACCTAAAAAAATTGCTCTAAGTCAACCAAGAAGAAACCATTCTGCTCAATTCTTTTTTTCAATAAACTATGCCTCCTATTCTTCGCAGTCATGCTAAAAAACCTATTTCCTCCACAAATCTCTGAGTTTACTGGGAGGAGGATTCTTGGGTTACACGAGCCTCAGATGAGATATCAGTAAATTTCCCACCACCTTAAAATCCCCTACACTACTGTCAGAGACACAATTGCAAAGAGACATCAAGAGGGCGAGGAGAATAAGTATAGATGAAGACATCCTAAAACTACCAAGTTACAGGATGATGCTATGGTGGAGGAAGCTGTTAAAAATCACCATAATACCTATTGTGAAATTGCTGAGCAAGTTGCTTCTAATGTCTCTAGTAGGACAGTAAGGAGAAGATTTGAAAAAAAGCATCTGAAAAAGTGGATAGCACAAGAGAGAGTTTACTTGGATGAGGATCTAGCTTAAGAGAGATAGGAATGGGCATTAGCTCATATGTATTGGACAAAGGAGATGTGGAGAAGGAAGACAACATGGGGGGATGGGGTGGCTTTGAAAAGGAGAGGAGGAAAGGAGAAAATGGGTTTTCAGATAACCATATGAGAAATAGAATAAGGATTGTGTTGAACCTAAGACTAGGAGAACGGAGAGAGGAATTAGCCACATGATGACTGGTTGTTTTTATAGTCAAACTCATGGTCTTTTTTGACTCTTTTTCCTAATTCTTCTTCTGCTAGGAGTAGAGTTACTAGGAAGTCAATTATTGATGTTTATGATCATTATGACTTTCTACGAATATGAGAGAATACCAGAGGAGAGAGGCTGGAGAAGAAGAGGTATTTTTTATCATGACAATGTTAAGACTCACTTGCCTTTTAGGAGATGTCTCAGAGGGCAGGAAATTATCCTGATGGAAATTCCTGCCTATTCACCAGATCTAAATCCAATTGAAAATATTTGGTCTCTGGTGAAAGGTAGGCTTCACAAGCACTACCCTGGGCTATATCTTATGAAGGGTAATGTCAATGTGGTCAAGAAGGCAATAGTAGAGGCCATTACTCATTGTTGGGAACTTCTTGACCCAAAGGTTTTTGATACTTTAGCTGGATCAATGGTGGATAGAATAGAGGCAATTATTAAGGCTGATGGATGGTATACCAAATATTAATTTCTACTATGTATTTACATCTTTTAATTTTTTTTTTTGGTTTTCATGATAGTGGATTGGTGGGTGAGTGTGGTTGTCATCGCCGAAGATTTTCCTCTGTTGAATAACAGTTGATTTTGTCCATGCACAATACTCGAGTAGTTAGATGATAGCTTGTTTACTCGAGCACCTACCATACCGGTACGAGTATTTATTTATTTATTATTACCTTGGCTTGCTCGTTGTTTCCGAGCTAATTGGCAAACCCGTTTGCCCTTTCCAAAGTATCATACGGGTCCGACGCTTCCAAAAGGGTGCCAAACCTTCGTGCGGAGGCACGAGCACAGAATTGTCGATGTGTTACTCGTAGCTCTCTCTCTAGTCTAGCTGCTGTCTTAGAGCACACAGCAAGGCAGGATAAACGGGAAACAGAAATAAATAATGCCCCCACCACCACCCAATTTATGACGGATTCAACAAGACAAACAAATAAAAGGCTCTATTATTATTTCCAACCTGCTGTTGGATTCGGGAGTTATCATACTTGAAAATAGACTGTGGTGGAGATCTTGCGTGGTGAAGATCGTGGAGAATTTGCCCCTCACTTTTTTTTCTTTCTTTTTCCCCTTTCCAACGCACAAAACTGTCTCGAGCCAGAGATTGAGAGACAGCTGGATGAGACCACGAGGTCAATTGTGGCAACTGTTGGTATTTTGAGCGAGAGCGGAGGAAGAAGAGGTCGGCTGTGGTGGGGCGGAGCGTAGCAGGATGACTCTCAAGAGCTTTGGCTTTGGCATCTTGCCGCGGGGAATACTCGAATGGTGGAATGAGACCGGTAATTTACCTCAACCACATGTCTCCTGGATTACAGTATTGTGGGTAATGAATATCTGGCTCATTCACCACGAGTGCCGG